CTCCCCGACTCCCTCAGCCCCCAGGCCTCAGGCCCTGCAGCTCTGGGGCAGGCCTGGCTGGGGCCTGGTCCACCCCTCACCTTCCGAGCTCGGCCTGAGGCGTCTTCCCGAGGGCAGCCTTCCCGACCCAGCTCCCTCCCTCCACGGGCTGCACCTCTGTGCTCTGTCACGCAGGTATCCTAGTGACGTGATGCAGGGCTTGCGCAGCCCTAGGTCAAGGCCCGTCCAGTTTGTTCTCTATGGTACCCAGTGCAGGGACGCAGTGGGCACGGTTTGTTGAATGAATGAATAAACAGCATCCACACAATCTCCAGGTCAGAGTCCAGGCAGAGCCCTGGGCACCCCAAGTCCCTGTGAACAGAGTGTCCACAGTGACCACCCAGACAGTAGGAAGCAGCCCTGATCTCGTGCTATGTGGCTATCTAGGGCCCTTCTTTAATGCACAGCACTGTGATGCTTCTGTCACTCTTAGAGGGACTTCACAAAGAAACAAACACGAATCAGAAAAATTTCTGGGCAGACATGAAGCTCGCGAGCAATCATATTGACTGGGATCTGTGAGTCTCGCCCCCGCCTTACTCCTCAGCCCACTGCCCAGACCGCCCTGGGGAGCTGTGGGCACAGGAGGGCTCAGGGACACAGGAGGGCTCCTACTTGCCCCTGGAATTCCACACAGGGCTGGGCCTCCTCACATCACCAGGAGTAAGTGACCAAGTGCAGGGGCCAGTGGCCACAGTAAAAGCCCAGGCAGGCCAGTGTGGGTCTGGGACACAGAACCTCTTGTGCATCCAGGACACATGGGGACTGAATGGACGGTGGCCCCCAAATGAGGTCCCCTGGGAGCCTGTGAACGTGGCTTTATTCAGAAAAAGGGTCTCTGGAGACAGAATTAAGGATCTGGAGATGTGATGATCCCTGGTCACCCAGTGGATCCCAAATCCACGAGTGTCCTTATAAGAAATAGGGGCATTAGGGACAGGGGAGCGGCTGTGTGACAAGGAAGAGGCTGGAGTGAGGAGGCTACCAGCCAAGGAGTGCTGAAGATGTCACCAGCAGCCAGGAGAGTTGCAGAGCAGATGCCCCCGAGCTCTGGAGTGGCCAGCCCCGTGCACCTTGACCTGCACTCTGGCCTCCAGAGCTGGGAAGAGCAAGCTCCTGAGTGAGCCACCAGGAAATCCCACAGGGACCAAAGTCCCCGCCCGTCAGAGCAGGTCAGAGCAGGTCAGAGCAGGAAGACAGCGCGGAGGGCCCCAGGGGAACCTCTCACCCTGGAGCTGAGAGCCAAGCCGGAGAGCTCCGCGCAGGCAGGAAGCGGTGGCCACAGCGCCCATCCAGGCCAGGATGCCAACTCCCCAGGGGCTCACAGATGAGGGGCCACAAAGCAAGGACAGAAGGGACAGTGAAGCACAGACTCCAGGCACCTCCAGCTACCTGCCGGTCCACGGCAGAGGGCCCACCCTGACGGAAGCAGAGCCCAGCTCTGCCCCTCTGCACTGGCCAAATACCCACCAGCAGAACACCCAGGGCCAGGGCGGCCGGGCAGCTCCAGGACGCTGTGCCAGCATGGTGACCACACAGCGACTTCGTGGCTACGCAGCCTCCCCCGGGGCCGCTCCCACCCTCCCGAGGCCCCCTGAGCAGCAGCTCCCAGGGGAAGTCCCCTTCTTGGAGACGCTCTCCCTACTGAAGTACAAGCTCTTGGAACAAGATAAAACTGCTTAATTTGTAAAAGCCACAAAGCCAGTCCAGAACAAGAAATCCCGACCTTGGCTGGAGGAATGGCCTTCTGTGCCTCAGCAGCCTGTCCCGCTCCGTGACTCACACCCCGCTGACAAGCAGGCAGCATCTTCCAGGGGAAGGCAGTGGCTTCAGAGAAGTCAGGGCCGGGGGGGGGGGAGGACCCCAGGGTTCCCCGCTCCTGAGGCAGGTGAGGGGAGAGAGGAAGAAAGAGAAAGCAGATCCAAGGGCCACTAGCATCTGCAGAAGTCCCTTCCCTGAGGCTGGGCAGACCACCGTGGACCCACCAGGACAGGAGCAGGCCACCACCACCCCCAGACAGCGGCTGGGCAGCCAGGCTGGACCCAACAGCCAGGGGTGTGAGCAGCAGCGTCCACAGCTGTGTCTAGGGATCGGCAGGTGGGGCACCCAGCAGGACAGGCCTCTGACCACACATGCACTCACCGTTGCCCCCAGCCCCGTGGCCCATTGGATCACTGGTAAGGACGAAAGGAGCTGTCACCACTGATGGTGGGACAAAGGGGCACAAGCCAGAGGGCCCAGCGCCCAGGAAGGCAGAGAGGAAGGGATGCCACCTAGGGGCCTCATGGGTACCTCCTCAAGGTCACCCAGCAGGGACTGGACAAGAGCTTGCCCAGAAATTGGAGCCAAGAGCTCAGCCAAGGACCACAGGGGAGGCCTGGCGGCCTGCAAAGCATGCTGGGAGACAGCTCTGGGTTCTCCTCCCGGCTCCTAGTGCCGGTTTACAACGGGGTTTCAGGAGGGGGGAAAAAAAGAAAAGGAAAAAATTCTTTTTAAAATAAAAACACATCCAAACAGGGATTGTGCTCTGACATTCAGATCCCCAGGTAGTCGCCCAGTGGGGTCCGGCATGGTCATCTATAAAATGAAAGCTGACGTGCGGTGTGGCTCACGGGTAGAGCACTTGCCCAGCATCCCCAGGGCCTGGAGTGTGATCCGCAGCGTGACTAAATAAATAAATAAATAAAGGCTGGACCAGAGGCCCCCTCCCAGCCAGAACATTGGAGTGACCTGTCCTCCGGAGCTGCAGCTGAGGAGGCAGAGAGGTCCATTCTCCGGGCAGCCTGTGGGAGGTGGCCTGCTCTGGGGTCAGCTCCACATCCCACGCCCAGGCCTAGAGAGGGTCTCTCCCAGTGTCCCCTGCCCCAGTCCCTGCAGATGGCCCAGGGCACCCAGGCTCTGCACCTATGCCTGAGCTCAAGCAGGACCAGCGGGGCTGCACTTTCACAGCCGGCCATCCTCCTGCGGGTCTCTGGCTGCCCACCTCCAGGGCTCCGTCTACCACGCCTATTATTATGTGCCCCAAAATACTGCACGTTCCCCACTCCCCACGGCAGGATCCTCCCGGCCGGCCTCTCAGAGCTGCCCAGCCAATTCTGACACTGCCTCAAGAGTGGCAGGGGAGGATCCCATCCTTCCAAACGGCCACTGAGGGGTCTTTTAGGGACCCCCTGCACACACAGGATCCCCAACACAACGACAGACCAGGGACACGGGCACTTATGGGATGGCGTTCTTAGGCTGAGCATGACCAGGGCACCTCAGGACACCAGGAGCCGGGAGCGCGGCGCACACCTGAGGATTCTGCACCCGCGGGCGACCCCTGGCACCCGGCTCAGAGGGGTGCGCCCACGCGTGGGCACAGTCTCCAGCGCATCCCGAGGAGCGCAGCCCTGCTCGCCGCGCCACGGCACTTCCAGGGCTCGGCCTGGAAATCGGGTTTCCTCACTGGGGAGGCCAAAGCAGGAGGCGCCTCCCTTTCATTTATCCACTCACGCCCCGCCCCACGGCCCGTGCCTGCTGGGGGTCCGCGGGAGCCACATGTGCACGTGCGCATGCACACGAGAGCGCACACATGCGCGCGCGCGCGCACGCCTCCTCCGAGCGCCGGGAGCCTCCACCTCTGTAATCAACTGCCAGGGAGGCCCAGAAAAGCTATTTCGGGGAGGAGACCAAGACAGCCTTGAAGACAGACTTCGGTTGGCAGCAAGAACACAAACCACACAGTGGACAAACAAGCCTGGCGGCGCCCACCCCGAGCGCCACTGCAGGCCCCCACCCTTGCCAGGGCCTTAGTGCCCACATCACCGTGGACGCAGATGCAAAACTGGCACATTGGAAAATGAAAGAGAAATTGCAAGGAGAGAGGAGAGCCGAGCTTAAATAAAAGCCACACTTGGAAGCGCTTAGGTTTGGGAGAAACATTCCACCCCACGAACTGAGAACAGTCAAAAGGAAAATATTTCTCCAAAAATGAGTAAAAGTGACCCTTGGGTGCTTATTTCCCGCAGCATCAATAGAGCCCAGTCCGGGGAACTGGGAGGGGGAGTGGGGCGAGGAGGGCCGTCTGCCTACCTGTGATCCGGTCCCTCTCCATTCCTACGGGTATATTTAGCAGCAGGCGGGAGTCCCAGCGGCCCTGGTTCAGAGGCAGGCGTCCTCCCCTTTCTCACCCGTCCGTCGCCCTCCCTCTCTCTGCCTCCTCCTCCTCCTCCTCCAAAAACACTCTTTGTCTGGTCTAATTTCTTCAATCTGTTGCAATCACGAATGCATCCAAATTACCACATTTCCATGTGCTGATCATATGTTTGTGCTCCAAACTGAAGTAGCATTGTCTCTTCAAAACAGGAGGGAAAGGCAGCGAGGAGAGAGACGGGAGGGGGGAAGCTGGGGAGAGGAGGCCAGAGGTGGGTCCGGAGGGATCCCGCCGCGCCCAGGGTCCTCCTGCGCGAGGACCAGCCGCCTGGCCTTCGGAGCAGCGGTGGCTTCAGCCGTCCAGCGTCCAGCTTCCGGCGGCGGCGTCCTCTCTCCACCCCCTCCAGCCCCCGCCGCCCTGAGCCTCGCTGCTCCTTTTTAATATCCACTTGGAGATGCTTAACTTAGGCTCTTGGAAACCAACTCGCAGAGTCAAATTCCTGGCGACTTCCAAAGTCTTTCATTTTCCCCGTCCGGCGATGCCGCGATTTCCTGGGGTTTAAGTGTTTAAAAAGCCCAGTTCCTGCTGCCTGCCTCGCCTGCCTCTGGCCCCACTGGCCCGGCCCTTCCTTGGCACCCCGACTGGGCTGGCTGGGAGATGGCCACCTCCCCAGGCATGCGAGCTGGGAGAAGGTTCCAGAGCACCTGCCCAGGATGAACCCTACGAAGGTGCCCTATGCAGCCAGCCTCTGTGTCAGAGGGAGCTGCCGTCCCCACCCCAGCAGAGGCTTCCTGGAAGATTCCTACCACAGAGCATGAGTCAGTAAGTCTGGGCAGTCCCCTGGGAGGGAGCAAGTCCTCTTGTTGCTCATTTCCCCAGACTCCGCGGCTCCCAGGGGGTGGGCAGCTCCCTGCCTTTTCCCACTGGAGTTCCAGGGGCTGCTCACCTGGAACCTCGGGGTCCCCACCAGCACCTGGTCAGTGTCTTGGGGGCGGGGTGGAGGAATTGGGCAGAGCAGGTAAGTCCCCGGTGGGGTAGAGGCATCCCCACCGCAAGGGTCCCTGCAAAACTGAGGCAGAGATAGGTTTTGCTTTCTCATTTCTGTTTAAAGGAAATGGATATTTGTGTCAGTGTTAAACTGAGGCTACTTCCCTAAAAACTCCAGATTTTTAGCTTCTCTTGACAAAGTGAGGGGATGTGGTCAGACAGGGGCACTTCCTTCCTGGCCTGAAGACTGCAGTCCTCCCTTGGCATCTGCTCCAGTCCCCAAGGTCTCTTACGCATTCTCACTAGGTGCCTGCCCCCCAGAGGCCTCCAAATTTACAATCCCTGCCTCAGCACAGGTGAGTTATGCGTGGCCAGGTAAGGCTCCGGTATCGGTATCGTTTTCAGCTGGACGACAGAGCCAAAGGCCCTGATGTGTCACTGACACTTTGCCACCTGACCCCCTCCCTGCCTGGGACAGGACCCCCCAATGCACTGGCCTACAGCAAGGGCATTTCTTGCAGGATTCGGGGGTAGGGGTATAACCTCCAGCCTCCTGGGAGACACGGAATAGCAAGTGCCCCCTCCCAAGGAGCTTGAAGGGCAGCCCCACAGGACAGTCTGCACACAGAGAAGGTGGGGACAGTGTCTTGGTCACGGCAATGGGCTGAATAAGGTCCCTAGATCCTAGAACCCGCAACTGTGACCAATTTGGAAAAGGGTCTCTGTAGGTGTGACTAAGTGAAGGATGGGGACATGGCCCTGGATCACCCAGGTGGACCCTAAAGGCCATCATGCGTGCCCATGTAAGAGGGAGCTGTAGCTGCACGGAGCAGGACGGGGAACGTGGAGAAAGAGGGTGAGACTCCGCCTGAAGGCTGGGAGAGCCTGAGCCACCAGAGGCTGGGAGAGGCCCCGGGGCCTCCTCTGGCCTCTGGAGGGAGCCCAGGTTTGCAGACAACTCGATTCAGACCAGCAAAGCTCAGGTCAGAGGCGGTGCCTCCAGAGCCCTGGGAGGGCACGGCTGCAGAGTTTTAGCCCTCCCAGTTTGGGGGAGCTCGCTACAGCAGCCATGGAACCCCCAGCCAGCACCCCAGAAGGATCAAGAGGCACGTTCGCTGTAGCTGTTTTCTGTTACTCAACCTCTAAAACACTGTCACCCGCCACGGACCATCACTGACAGAGCAGTGAGAATCGCGGGGGCCTGGGGGTGAGCTGTGTACTCCTCTGACTCTGAAAAATTTTCTGCTTTTTTCTCTGATTACAACTGTAATGTCTGTTCGTTGTATTAAGTTTAGAAACCACAGAAAAAGTACAAAGAAGCCCTGTTAATCCCACACCAGCCTCTCCAGCACCGTGTCCCTCCTGCAGGCAAGCCAGGAAGGCCTGGGAGGCCACCGACCTGGCCAGCTAGCGGAAACGGGGGGAGTGGCCACGGCCAGGGCTGTGCCCGCTCTGGGTTCACTGCTGTGGTCTGTGCAGGGCCCAGCTCAGCCTTGACCCTCAGTTCTCCATGGCATAGTTGAGCTCAAGGTCTGTTTCTCCACTGTGCCTAAAAATGCATGCATTCTGGCCCAAGCAGGGGACGACGTGAAACCAAAAGCCCGGCGGCGCCCATTGGCTCCGAGGAGGCCTGAGTTAGTCACGAGCCAGCTCTGAGCAGGGTGCGGAGGTAAGGCCAGGCTGCAAGGAGAAACGAGGCTCCCGCCCACTGCCTGTGGTGTCCAGGGCTCAGGTGGGCAGCCTTCCAGGCAGCCCAAGTCCCAGGAGTGGGTCCCACGTGGTCCTCCCTCGGGGGGACAGTGAGGAGGTTTCTGGGGCTGTGTAACCCCTTACCCCCCGTCTCACACTCCCCGGGCAATGACAGCATATTAGGCACAGTGAGGCGTCCAGGACAGCTCAGTTTCCCAAGTGGACCTGGCTTTGCGCTCCGGGGAGGCAGGGCCCTGGGGCCATAGCTCTGGGAACTCGCTGTGCCAGCCACAAGCCCCAGCTCCCACCCCCTGGCCTGCCCATAGTCAGGGTGCTGTCACCAACAGCCCCTTCCAGAAGATTCTCAAGCAGCACCTCAGTCCTCACCTCACATCAGAACACCCCTGGTGGCTTTGCAGGGTCACTGTCACAGTTCTCAGACCCTCCTAACTGCAGAGTGGAGCTCGCCGGCACAGAGCCCACTTGGAGAAGCAGCCAGGGGCCCGAGGAGGGTAAAGAGGGACGGTGAGGACCACTTCGCCTCTTAGACGTGGCCGGGCCCCAGGGCAGCCAGAACCCGCAGGTAAGAACGAGGGCCCCACTCACTCTGCTTGGACCCTGCTCAGGGTGAGCAACAGAATTAAGGCCAGCGGCCGCCCCTCACTCCAGCAGGGCCTGGGGACCAGCTGCTCTGTCAAGGCTCCTCAGATGCTCCCTCTGTTAGGGAATCATCCATGGTTGTCCCTCCCTCCTGACCTGCCCCCAAATGCAGCTGGACCCTCAGGGACAGTGCTCCATGGGAGCCTTCTCGGTTTGACTGTCCTCCTTAGTGGAAATTCATGCCCCAGCCTGCAAGGATCTGCAGATTGAGCCTACGCTCCCTGTGGGGCAAAAGGGTCACTTCTCTGTCCCCACCCACCTCTCACACATCCGGCCCAGCAGTGGGTTCAGTTCTCTCGCCCCAAGCACAACTCTCGAGCACCACAGCCTCACCTTAGTCCCCTCCAGAAAGCACGTGGCATGCCCCGCTCCCGCTGAGAGGGGACAGAAACTGTGAGGTGTCCCCAGGGTGGCCTGAGCTGTCAACAGCATCCAGGAGGCCCTGGGGCTGGCCCAGCTATCTGGGAAAGCAAGCAACCTCCACGTGACTCTGACGTGGGCAGCAGCGGCCCCGACATCAAGCTGGCAGGGTGGTGCCACCTTGCTCCTGGTGCACACCTGGGGCAGGTCCTGCAGGAGTGGGGAGAGGATCTGCTGAAAGCACACTTTCTAATGCTCTGGGCTCAGATTTTCTGCCACCTGCCATGCCCCCCTCCCTAATGCAGGGACTTGGGAACCTTCCCAGTGAGTGCCAGCTACAGGGACATGCAGGCTCACTTTAAACAGTGACTTCTCCGAGCCAGGTGCTGCAGCCCATGCCTGGAATCTTGCTGACTTGGGAAGCTGAGGCAGGAGGACCGCAGATTTGAGGTGAGCCTCTGCAATTTAGGAGACTCTCTCTCAAAGTAGAGTAAAATGAAAAGGGCTGAGGTTGCCGTTCAGCAGTAAAGTACCCTGGGTTTAATGCCTAATACCAAAAATAAATAAATAAAATAAACGGCTCTTCTGTTCATTTCCTGCTTTTTCCCAAACTCTCCCACTTAAGTTTGCCACCCCTCTGAATTAAAAATAAAGGAGCTGGGCTGGGGATGTGGCTCAAGCGGTAGCGCGCTCGCCTGGCCTGCGTGCGGCCCGGGTTCGATCCTCAGCACCACATACAAACAGAGATGTTGTGTCCACCGATAACTAAAAAATAAACACTAAAATTCTCTCTCTCTCTCTCTCTTTCTCTCTCTCTCTTTCTCTTAAAAAAAATAAAGAAATAAAGGAGCTGGGTCCCATGGCCCCGGGGTGCTGGCCCGGCCACAGTTGCTGCTGCCGTAGGCACCAAGCAGCCTCCAGTGCAGCCTTGACCCAGCCCCGGGGGCTGCATCTTCTCTGCACTTTTTATTAGACCTCAAGGTTCGTCTGTTCCTGAATAAATAAAAGCCAGCTCCTCTCTGCTCCCGGGGCGGCTGCAGGGTTCACTGGTGTCGATGGCATGGGCTAGCCGGCGGCTTTGGGAGCCCCTCCAGGTCAGCGTGGAAGGGGACCAAGGGGATGGGAGAGGCAGCCCCCGCTAAGGGCCTCACCTCAGCCATCCATCCAGCGCTGCAGGCTGACCGGAGCCAGAGCTGGCGCTTCACTCCTACAGGGGCCTCGGCTGGTGTCTGCCCAGAGCAGGAGAGACGGGGAGGCCAGGGCAGCCGGGGTCCCTCTTAGAGTGAGACAGGAGCTGGCGCTTCCACTTCCCACCGGGAGCCCAACTGCCTGCTCCGTAGGTGCCCAAGGACCCAAAGCCAGCGCGTTATGATCCCAACCAGCACCTGCCCACAGAGCTGTCGGCAAGGGTGTCAGTGCTCCATATCCGCAGCCCAGGAGCCACCAGCGGTCAGTGCGCCCGGGCAGTGGGCAGGGCTCTGCACTCACGGTGGTAACTTAAATTTAAGCCCAGCGCTGCCTGACCACTCCTTCTACTGTCTTCCTCGCCCTCCCTGGAGACAGTGGATCACCGTGACCTTCCTCCCCAGAAGGCAGGCAAAGGGAAGAGCTACTTCTTAGCCAAAGCTCAAGAAGGCCGATACTTCTATTTTAAATTGACTTTTTTATTCTTTTTAGGTGCATATGACAGCAGAGTGTATGTTGACATAAACACCTGGAGTGTGACCTCTAACTAGCATCCCGTCCTCGTGGTGTACCCGATGTGGGGTTTCCCGGGGGTGGAGTCAGCCAACTTTTTGTCTCCCCAGCCTTCTCTTACCAGGGTCAGCTGGACAATGCCCACTGTCTGCTCTGCAAAAACCCCCCTGTGGTCCAGAGCGGACAGATGAACCAAGGCAACCGGCTAACGGGACATCACAACTGGAGCATCGTTATCCTGCAGCCCAGCAGGGACCACAGGGAGGGGAGGGCTCTTTCCCAGAGGGAATGCCTGCTGAGGTGACATGGAGCAGGGACAGAAACACCGAAAGACAGGTAGTCAGGGCCAGGCAGGGAGCAGTTCGAGCCTGGTGCTCGGGGCTTACAGTGGACACACGGGGGTGGGGGGGGGGGACCCAGGACTCTGTAAGTAAGAGGACTGTGGCCAGGGTTAGGTGGTGGGAAAGGGTTAGGTGGTGGGAGCCTGGCATGGGAGAGGGACGGTAAGTGTCCCCTGGCTGTGTATAGGGAGGGGCTTGTGGCAGGGAGATGGGGTGGGGATGAGGACATCTACGGAGAGACCACAGAGGCCGGACCAGGACATGACCAACACCATGAGCAGCCTGCCGGGGTTACTGAGGAGAGGGGGATTGGCCTGGGGGTGCTGAGGAGGCAGAGGTCAAGGTCGACACTTGAGTACCTAGGGGGTGGCAAGGCTGGTGCTTTAGAGAAGAGAAGGCGGCGCAGGCATCCATGGAGGGAGAGGAGGGAAGGAGTGAGGTGTACCCTGGGGAGCCCAGAGGCAAGGTCCCCAGCAGCAAAGCTTCCACCAGCCTGTCCCGCAGCGGCTCCTCCACAAGGCGGGCGTTTGCCCTCGTGGCCGGGCACGGCAACTAGCCACCCAACACACAGGCCCAGAGCAGCCCCTCTGTACTAAGGCACATGGCACGGTGCCCTGAGACAGCTGGCGCTGGCTTGGCAGGCCCGCCTCATGGCCCTACTGTCTGCTGGAGTGGTGGCAATTAAACTGCTAGTTGCAGCCAACAGCTCCCTGGGTGGGGCCTGGCCAGGCCTGCAGCAAGGCCTTCTTCCTCTAAGAGGGGTGGGAAGGTGGGTGGGGGAGCTCCTCCTGCCTCCGCGTCCCTCCAGGCTCAGACGCCCAAGGCAGAGTATTTCAGGGCAGTCCTTTGGTGGCAAGGGCCGCTTACCTACAACAGCCTGGCAGGGGGTGTGTACCAGGGTCCTGTGGCTGCCGTGACCAAGCACCACAAACTGGGGGCTAATTGTTCTGGAGGCCAGAAGTGCCAATCCAAGGTGTGGCAGGGCCAGGCTCCTGGGAAGGCTCTGCGGTGGGGGCGGGGAGGTCTTCCTGCCTGAGGCTGCGTACTCCCACCTCTCCTGGCTCCCACGCGCTTCTCCTCTGCTTTCTTATGAGGACCCTGCTACTGGAATCCGGCCACCCCTAACCCAGGTGACCTGTCTTAAGTTCTTTCCACCTGAAAAGGTCTGTTTCCAGTCAAGTCACATTCTGGACCTGACCTTTGGGCAGTGACATCACTCAGTGTAATACTGCAGGCCGATGGTGGGGCTGGGCAGGAGGCCAAAGAGCCCAGAGGTGGGGGAGAGAGGAATGAGCAGACCAGAGACGCACTGGATGCAGAGCAGAAGGCTCCAGGGTCCCGGCTGGAGGTAGGAAGTTCAGACACAGCCCCGGAACTGCGCACCGTGGGAACCGGGCCAAAGGTCGCCTGAGACTGTGGTCCGAGAGGCTGCTGCCGAGGGCATAGGAAGGGGTAGCGGGGTAGCAGGGTAGCGTGGGAGCAGGCCCAGGGCTCGGGAGGGAGCTTTGGCAACATGTAGGAGGGCCGGATGGGCATCCGGTAGCCCAGCCGAGCCACCTGGGGAACGCCTCTGCACCTCCACGTGTGTGAGAAGGCTCCTGGCCATTTCCGCAGCAGGGCCCCCCCCCCCCCCGCCGCCCCCCCCAGGGAAGCCCACCAACAAGCCCAGGGCAGGAACCACCTCCCCCTGCAGAGGAATGCGGTTTGCTGTCAAAATAAACGAAGCAGAGAAACCCAGCTCCTCACAGCAGAATCTCAAAGTCCCTAGTGTGTAGACAAGCAGAGAGCAGAGGACAGCAATTATGCAATGCCGAAGGTATACAAAGGAAAGACAGGTCGTTCAGACAAAGAACCACAGGCAGGCAGGCCTGACAAAGACCAGCCAGGTCAGGAGAGTGTCACTGAGGGAGCAAGCGGGGGCAGAGGGCCCCTGGGGCTTTGACCTTAACTGTCCTGTCTCATTGCTTAAATGGGAAGGTGGGTACCTGGTGTTCTGCTCTGTTATTCTTTATACTTTTTTATTTGATATTCTGGTACCGGGCATTGAACCCAGAAGCACTTCACCACGAGCTGCATCCCCAGCCCTTTTTAATTTGGGGGACAGGGTCTTGGTAAGTTGCTGAGGCTGGCCTGGAATTTGCGATCTTCCTGCCTCAGCCTCCCAAGTCTCTGGTGTTACAGGTGTGCCCCATTGCTCCTGGCTCATCCTTTACGTTTAAGAAATACACCTAATAAATCTATTTTAGAAAACAAAAAAAAAAAACAAGCACAGAAAGTGAGTGAACTTGTGGGTGTCCTCTGAACTGGGGAACCAGCCTGCACTAGAAATGGCCGAACAGGCCTCAAGACGAACGTGGAGGGGAGGCATGAGACGGAGCCCACTACCCTTCTGGGAAAGGGACAGGGTGGAGTCCTCAGTGTCACAGGGTGTGTGACAGAGGCTGGGAAGAGTGGAGGGGTGAATGGGAGCCCCACATGGACAGCTAGGACAGGGAGTTTGGGTCCAGGAAGGACGCCCTGCCTGGACCCCTGTCATGGCCGCAGTGTTAGAGTTGGGAGCCAAGAAAGGGTGTCTCCCTCCGGCCGGAGCCCACAGAGGCGGACTGCGTGTGTCAGCAGGCGGCCGTAGGGAACCTAGATCACCGGCTTGCAGCTTGGGGCTCCGGCAAATTATGCCTTAGGCTTCCAAGGCGGCCGAGGCGGTGCTGCCAAGTGCTGACGGCACAGAACCGCCCGGTCTGAGCATGGAGAAGCAGCACCCAGACAGAGGCTTTGTCCACGCAGTCCGAGGTGCCAGCTCCGCAAAGTGCCCCTAGCCCACCCCCACCGAGGCTGACCAGCAAGAAGGAGGGAGATGGAGGGGAAGACCAGTCACAAAGCCAAGGGGCCCCAGAGAAAAGGCCCCAGACTACCAAGTGGTTGGTGGACCAGCTTGTCTGGGGGTGGGGGGGAGTGCCGCTTAACCACAATCCTGAGTCATCCAGCAGCCCAGGGGACTCCAGCCAGGGCGTCACCTCCTCTACCCCACCCCCATCTCACCCCGAACTGCAAGGGCCTCACACACACTGCACATCCACAGTCACCCAGGCCACCCATGCCACCCCTGTTACCGTGGCCACTCCCTGCAGAGAGCCGCCCACAGCCGCCCGCAGGCTTGGGGTGGGTAGCACCAGAGCACTGGAGGAGGGACCCGGGAGAGGTCTGTGTTGGCCCTGGAATTGGTGCAGGAGGATGCAGGGCACAGAATTCTGGGACCCCAGGCAGCCAACATGGTCTAGGGCTGTCCATGTCCACAGCTGCTAGCCGCATGCCAATACTAACTGGAAACTAATAGAAAATTAACTAATTAATTCTAAGCAAATGAATGAATAAACTTACAAATGTCTATTTGAAGTGCGCGATAGACGCGTGTGGTTAGTACTCTCCTGGACAGAGCTGAATGAATGGAATGTTCCACTGGACAGAGCTGGCCTCAAAGGGACTGTGGGCTCTGAGGGGCTCGCAGCTCCTCCCCCTGGGGCCGGGGCACAGCTGGGAAGGGCCAGAGTGAGTCCGTCTGGCCCGGGTCTACGGCAGGCCTGATTCATGGATGACTTATCCGAGGGGATTCCCAGGCCCTTCTGTGACTCCGATTCCTCCTGCAGAACAGCTGCTCATGAGGGTGCAGCCCTTGCCTGCTCTGTCTCCATATGTCCCTCTGTCCAGCCTGGGTCTGGCTCTTAGTCCCCAACACACATGCAGATGAGGGCAACACCGCGGGGCTTCCCCAGGAGCGGATCATCTCTGAGTCCCTTTCATCTCTGTGTCCCAACATCTCTTCTGAACAGAGGCCACCAGAATGAGGACACATGCCCCAGTTTGGCCTCTGGAAGGAAGAGCCAAGGTGGGCTCTGGGAACAGAAGCTGGGATGGCCACACAGCCCTCAGCCCCTGCCCGGGCTGGCCCCGTGGTGGGACGAGCCTCTGCAAGCCTGGGAGAGGCGATCCCTGCCCAGAGCTCAGCCTGGGGAGCATCTGTTTCCCTCCCCACTGGTCATCAGGAGAAAAGCTGGCCACAATAGGTCACCACAGGAGCCCCTGACTTAATCCTGGATCAGGCAGACTGGATTTGCTCCAGGCTGCAAGGCTGCAGGGGGCTGGCGCCGTGGTCTAGGATCAGCCCCGAGCGGCCCGCACCAAAGCCACCCTTCCACGGCTTGCCACCCTCCACGCCTCTAACAGAGGCCACCCTGCAGCGACCACCTCTGGCTCTCTCCTCCGGCCTGCACACAGGGCTTCTCCCATGCCTGGGGGTGGCTACCTGTGGAGCTAGACGGCCCCTGCCCCCACATGGACACGGCCGGGATCCACCTTATGTGCAGCACCTAAGACCACATCCCCCAGGGCTGCACCCACCCAGGAAGGCCAGGTGGAGACCAGGTCCCACAGCGGGCCAAGGCCCAACAAACCACTTACCTGGACCGGTTGGGTCACCTAGCCTCCGGAGACGGCCGCTGGAGGTCCGAGTGACTCCTAAAGACAGAGAAGGACAAGGATCACACGAGGCCATGGCTCTCCCTCCTGCCAGGTGGTGACACGGGTGTGTCTTCATTTTTCCACCTGCCAGGGACTCCAGAAGCAGGTAACCCCAGACGAGCAGCCACCTGTACCTGGGAGTGACGGCGGCCACCCACCTGGGTGCTGGCACTGGGCCAAACCCTTACCATCCCATCTTGCAGATAAAGAGCTGAGTCCCAGCTGGGTTGGTGACGTGCCCAAGGCCACAGAGCACAGAGGAGCTGAGCCCACTGTGAATCCAAGTCCATCAGACTCCAAAGTCTGGTCCTGGCCCAAGCATCCTCCTGGGCAGGGTGGCAGCAGGTGTCCACTGAAGTCAGCCAGGCTCAGGCCAGCACCCCTAGAGCCACGTCTGCTTGTTTTATGCACAAAGGTCTCCCTGCTCCAGGGTCTCCATCACGGGCCTAGTCCTGTCCCAGCCCACGTGGATCCCAGGGCTGGGGACTGCTGGACTGGATTTGGGGAAGCTGGGGACCGAGTTTTCTCTCCCACCCCAGATCCACACAGCCTCGTGCAGCACGCGCTGCCTCCACCCATCAGCCCCTTGGCCCAGGGCTGGCTGCTGGAGAGGCTTATGGAGGGCAAGTCCTAACTCGAGGAGATTTGCAAGGTGCTAAGCTGAGCAAACCCCAAAACTGCCAGGTGGAACAGGTTCAAGAACACAGCCACCAACCCAAGGCTGCCAGGTTGCAGCATCTGGGGCAACGCCATGCCGCCCCTCCTCCAGAGAGCCGCAGGGATACTCCAGGCTAGCCCAGCAGAGGACCTCCCCACCCCCACAACAGACGAGGGCCCAGGCTAGACCCAGACAACTGCCTGCGGCCTCCACCATCTGACACCGCCTAGCTGCTGGTCAGAGGGGATGGCTTCCCCTTGGGATCCCAGAGACTCTGGCAGACCCATCCACCCATCTAGCGGTTCACCCCTCCACCACCCCCAGCCCACCCCTAGGCCATGCCCAGGCAGAAGTGGGTGTGGCCAGCCGTGTTTCTGAAGGTTCTGGGCAGTTCCCCTCAATCGCCAGGGAAGCCTCAACGAGGTGGCCAGGGCAAGCTGGGCCTCCGAGGAGAGGCTTCCACCGGCCCAGGCTCTGGCAACAGGCCGAAATCAGGTTCGCACCCCCTGGCACTCAATTCACCAACCCCAGAAGGCGGTGCTACCACCCCCATTTCCCAGCAGAGGGAGGGAAATGGGGCTCCTAGCTGAGCAAGTCACCCAGGGTCAGCAGCAGCTGGATTCTCCTGCAGGCCTCTTCTGTGTCACATGGAGGGACGCCAGCCGCCTCGGCACCCACCAACTGATGAGATCTCTGCTCCGGGCTGAGCTCTGAGGACCCTGCAGGAGGCCCAAGGATGCCGGGGCAGCCCACTGGACGGGCGGACACAGGCTGCCCATGGCTTCAGGCTCCTGGAACCGACAGCCCCGTAAGGCCAGGAGGGGGTGCGGGGAAGGGAGAGGCAGGTCCTGCTCCCAGGCTGCCAAGGGCAGAGTAGGGAGTCTGGGCTCAACTCACAGCCACGGAAGGCTGTGGCCCTCCCACAGACACACTGTATGTCACATGATCGTCACAGCCTTCTGTTCCACAGCCTCGGTGAACTACTGGGTGGCTCAGCAGTCCAGAACAGAGTGGCCCTAGTGAATGGCAGTTATGTCCCTACGTCTAGCAGGCCCCGGACATGGGAACCTCGGACATGGGAACCTCGGGTGAGGAAGGGCCAAACATTCCTGTGGACTGAGTCGCTTCTGGTTGAGCTGTCTCTGCAGGGGATGCCAGGGACAGAGGCGGCCCTGTCCTCCCCCCTGGGAGGGTGCTGGGTGGGGCCACTGGACGCCCACCCCCACCCCCTGCCCTCTGGCTTCCAGTCCAAAGTAAAGCTGAAGGGGACCCATGCAGGTCAGGCAACCCCAGGCCTCTGAGCCCTTCTCCCCAAACTGGGGGCGGGGGCAGAGCTGGGGAGAGGAAGAAGACGGCACTCAGGCTCCCAGGGCGGGGCGTGGGGGTGTGGTGGGGGGGGTCCTATTTTATCACACTGTTTATTTTTCCAATTTTCCAAAATGGAAGTCTGGTGCCAGACAGCCCCTGGCAGAAAGAATGCAAAGTGTGCCCCCATCATAAGAAGGGGAGCAGTGCAGACCACCCCAGCAAGTTCCCAGGCTCAGGCCCCCCCCACCGCATCGCGGGAGAGACCTGGGCCCAGGAGCACTCCAGCGCGGCCCTCCGACCTCATCCCTCAGGCCGGCATCCAGTGCTTCCTGCCACCGCGTCCCAGTTGAGCACTGAGCTATTTTTATGTGATTTTAAAATAAAACATATCGGGGAGGAGAGGAAACCATGTGCTGCTCTGGTGTCAGAGTCGGCCCAGACCAAAGGCTCCGGCGGCTCCGAGGCCCAGGCGGCAGGAGGCCTGCAGTCCAGGGCCAGGTTCAAATCCAGACCTCCCTGGCTGGCTTCCTGGTCTGCCCCATGGGGACAACAGAGATGGTGTCTCCTCATGGGTCATTAAGATTAAGTGAAACAGGCCAAGAGAAAGGACTTTGGATGTTCCCACCATAAAAAAAAAAAAAAGGACCTATGTTTGAGGAGATAGGAGTGTTTGCCCAGACTTGAACGTTGCCCAATGTATGGAAATATCCCGTGGTGCCCCATAAATCACGTGGTGCCCCATAATCATGCACAATTTTGGGCTGGGGATAGCTCAGTGGTAGAGTGTGTTAAGCATGCAAGGCTCTGGGTTGGACCCTCTGTACCACAAAGAAAGAAAGACAGAACAATTTTGATATATTTGTTAAAAAATTTTTCTCTGCTACAAGAAAGATTAAATGGTACACATTGTGAGTACTGAGCACGGCAACTGGCACAGAATAAACGCTAGCAAATGATGTTATTGTTATTGTGATAATTATATTGTATAATACGGATGTTACAATACACCAGCCCGGACCCAGGGACCTATGATTAGGAGTCAGCAAAACCTGGCTGCTCTGTGCTAATGCATTTTAATAAAATGTGAGTTACAACCAAGGTCCCTCCTGCCATGGCCAAGACACTGCTCTCCCAAGCAAGGGACGGACATCTACCGACTCCCTCCCAATTCAGCAGGTCGGAGCCCTCCTGGCCCCACCAGGGCAGGTGCATTAGGGGGAGATGGTCAGGATGGAAGGAGCTCTCCCCTGGAACCTCCCTCCCGGCTGCGACTCACCCAGCCCAGGACAAAGGCCGGTTCATAAAAGTTCACGGATCCCAGGTCAGGGACCAACATCAGTGAAATTTACTATCAAGGCCACAGGATGAAAACAGATGACAGGGGACAGAGACAGCAGGAGGCGTAACTGGGGACGGTCACTGGCTGGCACCCGAAACAGAAAGAAAACACGACACTGGAAAACAGGAAGAAAGAGCCATATTCAAGGAGATAGTTCCCTGTCCTCAAAAGGACCAGGTGGCCCTGGGCAGAGGAGGAGCCCCAGGCTGCCTGGGAAGTGTGTCCCCCACTGAACCAGCAACGCGGGCCCGGTGCGCCTGGCTGCACCCTCCTGCCCTCTGCCACCAAGTGCGGTCTCCACTGGGCCCAGCAGCCTTGCCCAGACAGGCGCTGGCCTGGGAACCCGATGCCCATCCGAGCGCAGTGCTGGGGATGGAACCCAGGGCCTGGCTGTCCCACGGAGCCTCATCCCCAGCCCCGACCCGTGCTAATGATTTGGGAGCCTAAAAAAGACAAAGATAGAATTGGTGCGAGGAACTTTGACTTTTTTCTTTCAAACACATGTTTATGACAGAAGCTGATAAATTACAGAGCTGAAACGGTTAAACAGGACGGAGAGGCTACAGTGAGCCTGGGTGGGACGTTTCCTTGTGGTCATTTCTTCGGTGATCACCACGCCCATCTCCCCAGGAAGGCAGCCCAGGTCCAGTGGCCCATCTGAGATCGGGAACTAGTGCTTGCAACCCCGCTGGGGCCTCGCGCAGCTCAGATGTCTGTCACCACCCAGGGGAGGTGACACCCCTCCACCCAGCTCTGCTCTGTGCTGACCACCCAGGGGCCTGGACAGGCCTCCTCTTTCAAGTCACTCATTGCGCTCAAACACCCGTTTCCAATATCCACTCTCTAGAGACGAACATCGAGTTCTGATTTTTTTTCTTAAAACTCATGGGAGCCTCTCAGGAAAGGGTGGGTGGCCCCCAGTGACCCTTGGCCAAGGCAGCTTTGCCTGCCACTTCCCCCTTGGGGCCCATCGGGTGCTCAAGAAGCAGGCTCTCCTCCCCCTCCTCCTGGGCTCACAGAAGCTCTGCGGGGCTGGATCTAAGTCAAGTGCCGCAGGTGGGAGTCAAGAGTCAGATTCCAGCCTTATCTCCAGAACAGGGCACTCAGGGCTTATCTGCAGAGGAGGCTGAGATGTGCAGATAGCGGTTCCCCTTCCTCTTACTTGTCCTTGGCTTTGCAGCCTGTACACGGGGCTGCACAGAGAGATGGCTGAGCTGAGGCCCTCTTGACAGTCTCCTCCCCAGCACAGGACCTTTTCCTACCCTCAGAGCCGCACCTGGAGCTGTGGCCTACAGCAAACCTCGGTTTACTAATTCACAAGGCCAGGAAAGCTGTGCCTTGGGACCCAGCTCCTGCCAAAGACCCTGCCATCTCCGCAGAGCCCTGGGCCCCGAAGCCAGAGGTCCCAGTCCCCCCTCTGACACGCTCTGACCTACGGAGCCCTCTGTAAAGCAGAGGCTGCTTCCAGCCCACCAGCCCCTATGAGAAGCAGCAGCCCACCCACCCACAAATCACCAGCCCAGAGGAGGGCCACGCGGGTACTGGGGTGGCGCCCTCGGCGGCGTCTATAAGAGAGCCGGGTAGACGCGCCTCCCCTCTCACTGTGCCTCTGGGCAAGTCTTGCACGGTTGGAACCTCAGTCTCCAAGACTGACGGGAGGTGGATGTGTGAAGACACCTCCCGAGCGGCTGCTCTGCCTCAGCGGCTACGTCAAAGCCGGGATACAAGGGTGACCCAGGGTGGCCCTGCCTTGGTGACAAGCCAGCAACAGTACCTGGCTAACGGATGGGAAAGGTGGCTCCATGGGCGCATGTGGTGGCCTGGCTCTTTCTGTACCTGGCAGCAGACGCTCCAGCTGCCAGGTGGCAGTGCCCATCACGGACATCAGGGTCCACCCCAGACCCCCGGGCCCCTCCCTCAAAGGCTCACTAGTGGGTGCCTGGACTCGGTGCCTGGACTGAGTAGGGCTGCCATATAAAGTGCAGGACACTGAGTTAAACCTGAACTTCAGGTAAAGGACAAATAATTTTCTAGGCATGAGTTTATCCCAAGTGTTTTCTGGGGCACACCCTTCACTAAAAATTAGTCACCATCAGAAACGCAAGCTGGACACATCTGGGGGAGGCAAGGGCCTAGTGGCCTCACAGGAGAGCAGAACAATGGCTTCTCCAGCTCCGGCTCACCACGCCTGCCCCGCCCCCCCACCCACACACCAAGTGACCTTCCAAAAGGAGAAAGTCCCGCGGGCCATTTTCTTGCTTTCTTTTTTGGTGGTGGAGGGGCATTGAACCCAAGGGCACTTAACCACTCAGCCCCATCCCAGCCATTTTAAAAATTTTACTTAGACACAGGGTCTCACTGAGTCACGTAGCACCTCACTAAGTTGCTGAGGCTGGCTTTGAACTCACGATCCTCCTGCCTCAGCCTCCTGAGCCAATGGGATTACAGGCGTGTGCCACCACCGCTCCCGGCCTGTGGTCCATTTTCAGATACAATATTTGGCATTAAACGTAAAATCACTGGAGATGGGGAGGGGGAGTCCAAGGGGAACTGGACAGAGTGGTTATCAGCAGTTAACACCTGATTGTGGCAGAGTCACAGCCCTTGACAAACAGGAGGTAGGAGACGGGACTGGCCAGCCACCAGAGATAGACTGCATTTCTGCCACCTGAGAGCAAGGAGAGGAAGGGACAACTAAGGGGACATTTGCTTATTTATTTATTTTGATACTGGGGATTGAACTCAGGGACACTTGACACTGAGCCACATCCCAGCCCTATTTTGTATTTTATTTAGACACAGGGTCTCACTGAGCTGCTCAGCATCTCACCGTTGGCAAGGCTGGCTTTGAACTCGTGATCCTCCTGCCTCAGCCTCCCAAGCTCTGGGATTACAGGCGTGGGCCACCTCACCTGGCAGGACATTTCTTTAAATAATCCCGCGGGAGACTGTAAAACCTTCATTCAGGAAGACTGTGAGCCCCTAGTCCTCAGCCAGCGAGGAACCAGAGGAGGGACCTTGCACTAGGGATGCCAATCGTCGCCATTCTGGGTGCACCTACCCCGCAGACACTGATCCTGCAAGACCCCCAGTAAAACACCTGGCTTCCTCTGCACCCTGTGCCTCTTAGTCATGCCTGGGGTTGGGGCAGGGGAGCTTATGTCTCGCGTGCCCAGAAAGGGGCCTGAGAGGACGAGGTCCAAGCGCTGAGGCCGAGCTGCACGGGCTGGCCTTGCTCTGGAGCCCCACCACCGCGCAGGGACTGGCCAGGAGCTGCGGTCAGGAGACCTTTCCCAGGAGCACCCGCTCAGAGGGAGCGAGGAATCCGGAGAATGAGAGCGCTGACGCGGCCTGTGGGTGACATTGCGTCACCCAAACTGAGGCCAGGGCAGCGAAGTGCAGACTCAGCCTGAAAGGGTAGCAAAGGGAGGTGACACCATCAGACACAGCCAGAGGGGACAGAAGAGAATAGCCAGAGAGGCCCAGGCATGGCCAGCCCGTCTCCACACTCTGTGACCAGCTTCCCCCGGGGCACCCGGGCCCTTGGGGTCTGTTCACACCCTGATGAGCACCTCTGCTCCAGACGTGAGGGGGCACAGGGCTTGGAGAAGCAGGGAAACTGCCCCCTCCAGCCACCCTGAGGCCCACCCTGAGCGACTGGGGGCGGCCATGGTGGAGAAGGCTCCCTGGAGGCGGCAGGACCCTCAGACAAATGTTGCCGTGCGCCGGGGACAACCACGGCTCTCACAACACACAAAGTGCAGAACGCGGGCAGGAAGACCCCACTCTTCCCGGTGGTTCCACTGTCCGCCTTGTTGAAGGATCGCAGTATTCTGGACACTGCTGGCCCTGCGGCTTCTGGAGGTGATGTACTCGCCCCCTCCAGTCTGGCCCAGGCTCCTCTCTGCCCTCCCCTCCCCACTCCTCCTCTGCCCCCAGCCCCTCTGGCCTTCCTGCTGTGCTTGGACTGTGTCCCCCCAGTCTCCTCATGTGTCCAGATCCTTCCTGTTTTCCTGGCCTCGGCAGGTCTGTCACCTCCTCTGTGAGCTCCCACCGCCCACTCCAATGCAGCCGTGGGTGCTTGCTATCAAACCCCATCTCAACTCTCCCCGTAGCGCTTGCTGCTGTTGGAGACTTTCCTTGACACACTAGCAGATGGCCAGCTTGATTTTCTGTTGGCTTCTCCTAGACCGTAAGCCCCGGGAGAGAAGAGACTTGTTTGCTCACTGCTAAGCCCAGTAGTGCTTGCTACTGCATGTGGCATACAGCAGGCACGTGGGTCAGCTCTAGGTCACTGTGACAAAACACCTGAGAAAATCAGCTTAAGAGAAGGAAAGATTTATTTTGGCTCTCAGTTTCAGAGGTTGCTTGGCCCCATTGTTTTCTTTTGGAGTGCTGTGAACTGAACCCAGGGGTGCTCTACCTCTGAAGCTCCCGAGTTGCAGGGTTACCCAGCTTAGCTCTGTTGTTTTGGGGGCCTGTGGCGAGGCAGCACACCATGGTGGGGAGTGTGTGGTGGAGCAAAGAGCTGGAGTCATGGCGGCCAGGAAGCAGGGACAGACAGGAAGAGGCTGGGGTCCGGATACCCCCTTCATGGGCACGCCCAGTGACCTAACT